AGAGTCAAATGTAAAAGTATTTTGTTTATACTAATTCTTTGCATTTAGTAACTAAAATTTTCAAGTATTAGTAAACATTTTGCCTTAATTTTTATCCACTAAAACGATTTTTTTTTACCAGTCATGGTCAGGGTCTTGTAACAGTTAGGCAGTCTTGGTCTTGATCTTGTAAAGTGCAAGAACAAGACCGATTTTGGGCTACACTACTCGTAATGTTCTGATATGTTGCGAGTAAGGCACTGTGCTACTACTCTCTTTGTACCGGTTTCTATTCAGGATGTGGGAGGTAATTATTTACTCTGATTGGTAATTATTTATCAGCCATTCCTTACAAAGTACTGAATCCAAGACCCTCCATGGGTTGTAATGTTATTCAGGTTGATTGTATTAATTATTTTTTGAAGAGTAAAAATTTTGATTAGTTGTTAAAATAATTCGACTATCATATTCTGTACTGATAGCTAGTTATTTCATAAAAAGAGGAATAATGTTAAGCCAATACCTACGAACCTGTGGATATCAGTTCTTTGAAATTGCAAATAAAAAATTATTTTGACAAAGTTTTTTATACCTAAAAGTACTTAATTTTAGAATTATAAATTTTCAATATACTTAAAACTCATACAAACAGAATTCAATATGTCTCGGCGATACGATATTCTTATCAGAAGTGATATAGTTGTATTACTATCTATTGAATTAGAGCAGTAACACAGTGCAATAATCCACATAGATACCGACAAAGGATATCCTATCCCGATACATATCGCGTTCTGTGTGTAGAAGCCTTTATGTTCAAGAAAATGTTTTAGCATACCCAATTCTAACATAACTATTCATGAAGTAGTTAAATGAACAGGTTATTATTATTATTGATTGGGTATTATTACTTATTGTGAATTGTATTTATTGATTTGGCATTTTGTAGCAAATGTTACAGAGTATGAGACTAATGATCAATGGTCTCTATTAATTATTACTTTAACTAGAAAATTGGAATGTTTTCTATACATTTCAAATATAGAGTTTTTGCCTCAATTCTTAGCCTGATGACGAACAACGAATTTTCTAAAATATCTCCACCATAAAGAGAGATTTCGAAAATATTAATTCCCAATCTTTGGGAACTAAGGTCCCAAGTGAGTTCCGATATTTAATTTATTTAATACCTCAAAAATTAACATTAATGTAGTCTAGTATTGTGAATATATTTATTATGTATTTTATATACTATATTAATTATCATTAGTATCAGAATACTAGAATAGAAAAGATCCTTCTCGTGCCACAGAACTATCCTAAGACCAATGAACCTATGGTTAACGAATCCTTAAGTATATTCCGTTCTATTTCTGTGCCAAATTTCTTTTTTTTTTTTTTAAATTAGTCCCACTCAAAAGCGACGGAACGCAAACTCAGGCGCCAGTTCGTATTTGCCAAGATGAAGAGTCTGATCAAGTTGGCGTCGGCTGCAACGTCTGAACCTGGAGTTAATAATATTTTTTCTTTCCCTCTATGTCTCTCTCTTCCTCTCATATTTGAAGAGTAGGAAAGAGGAAAAGAAATATATAATCATTAATTATACTAATTAATTAATATATAAACCTTTAAAAATTAATTGTAGACTTAATTTTTATGAAACTTCATTTATAAAATCGATTCATGCGTTTAATATTGCACTACCAATAACTTAATTTGATTTTTTAAAATAATATTTTATGTTTTAATGAACATATTAAAGTATTCATTGCTGTATCATTCATACAGTATCATATTTTTTTATGTGAAAAAATAAATTATCAATTTTCGAACATGTTTTTGATATGACAGAAAGACATCCAACATCAGGATCTGCGTACCAACTTAGACCAAATTTAGAAATAGATTAGCATAATAAGCATGTTACGTTATAACATGCGCGAATATACCTTTATTCTCTCTTTCAAAGGTATTGAAATCTCCAAAAAATATCTAGTATCTCAAATTAAGGACTTACTTTCTTATGATTACGAAATGTGTTTCCAAATTCAACATTAACACAACCGTTGGAAAGCTGGATGACTGCTCTTTCTACAGATATCGATAATTTTATTCCTTTATAAGCTAGAAATAAAATACAATAATAATGACTGAAGCTTTTACAAAATGAAAAATATATATATATATATATTTCAGCTGCTAAATTTAAGTATAAAAAATATATTCCTAACATCATATAAAAAGTATTGTTCCTGTTATTACATTTATTTTTTTATTTATATATATTTTTTGCAGGCCTTCAGGTACTATTTAAACTTTTTTTTTACTAATTAACGTTTAAAAAAAATCGAAGCTTCCTCCAAAAATTAAATCCTGAATGTTTACAGATAAGAGGTGTATTGGGATTATTAACTTCCATCGAAAAAGATCTACTACATAAAATTCTCAATTGATAGGTCTTTAAAAATACGGAAATACTCCATACATGTAAATCAATTTGTATTTTTTTTTTTTGTCCTACATATTATCGAACTTCGGTTACCTTTGATATTTCCCCTCCCCCCCTTACCCTCTCTAAGAAATTTTAATCAACTACTGTATATATTGGGTGACCTTTTAATATGAAAGAGTCATAAATGAAAGTGTGGTTGGAAGAATTCTAAATTAGCGAGACTGTAAAGGCGAGATTCGAACTTGAGCCCTTTCTGATATCCGATCAGTTACGGAGTTCCACGAACAACGAACCCGTATGTGATCCTCACGTTTCCATCGCCTCCTTCATTTACATTCTCCTAAAACTAAAAGACTGCTTTCGTGTGAATCGTCGGATCGAGTTACTCTAGTTTCCACCGCATATCTGCAACGGCTCGTTACCGATCTTCGTCCGCTTTCTCTGGTTCACGATCGTGGTACCGTCGACCTTCCTTCTTATGATTACGAAGCCGATGGCGGAGATTAAAAGGTTGAGCAGAAGGCCACCACTACAATGGGACGATTTCCTTGTTCCATTGTGATATGAAACATCATATTTTATTTATAATTATTAGAGAGTAGCCCTGTCCGCACGACGGAGGACCAACCTCCATTTTACAAATTATACAACTGTTCATTTAATTGTCCTACTCGTTGCTAAAATTGTATAACTCTAATTTACATATATTCTTTAGTTCAGATTGTATTATTTTTTATCAACATAAAATAAACAGAACGAAACAACCATTCGGAAAAAAAAATTAATTTCTTTAAAAACCTATTATATTATACGTCGCGCCTTATTGCCAATTTATATTATGATATAATTATAATTATCCTTATTGTCAATTTTAACCATAATAAGGGAGAAATAATTCTAGGAATAACAATTCTGGTGTCTTTGGTACGGTCCGTCCCTTTAGTGTTTTTGTTACTGCCCTTGTTTGTGACTTTGTATATTTAAAATAAAATATGAAACATTCATTAAAACCGTTAATAGAGAGATTTTATCATCCATCATCAGGAAAAATTAAAGTTATTTTCGGCTTATTTTGCTGGATTATCAGTTTTCTAACTGTAACTAACAAAGATTTCTTTACAATCCTTATTCGCATGTTCAATAAATATGCATTGTTTCCAACGAAAATGAAAGGTCTATGTTATATCATCCTGATTAGCATAATGACATTGAAATATTTAATTTCTTTGTTTATATTACGGCTGTTTCTCCATTATAACAGGTTCTATAACAATAAATATTAAAATTATTTTTAAAAATAAAAATAATTTTACCTTAGAAAGGTATTAAGTAAATTTTTTACTCTGAGATACAGACCCGTTTTTATCAAATTATATTTACATCCATCTAAAACTTAGTGAGAGACTTCAGCTTTTCATAACCTATAACTTATTTATCGATGAAAATTCTAGTAAATGGTGCGTTTTAAATCTGAAGATCGGTAAACTTTTTCTATTGAATGAGAGGCGAAAAACTGAAAAACACTCATTTGCTTTCCATTAGAATCGTAATAATGATTTCATCACAAAATGGAGAAAAAGGCGGTCTAGAAAACGATTAGCTCGTTCGGCGTGACCTCCGCCCTCCTCATATAAAAAAAACGAGGTTATATAGGCCAAACGGCCCAATATTTTTGTAGATCACCCCTTTTCTCGATTTTGTGATCAAATTATATTACTATTTAAGTGAAAAGTCATTAGTTATTCATGAAGTTTTTGATAAATTTTTACAAGAAACCGACGATTTTTTATATTTGAGAATCCTGAAAGAAACTAATTATGAAATAAAGACTTATTTCCTCATTCTTAAATTCTTCGCCCCCATCCATCTTGGATTTACTATTTTAGATATTAAACAAAATCCTTCCTATTTCGTGCTGGCTTAGAGTAAACTTCATTAAACAGGAATGTAATAAAATCTGTAGTCCATATTGTTCTCGTCATTATATTGGTGGGAATAATATTAGGAGAGGGTTGTTTTATGAAATTGGAATATTAATAGATTTAATTATTTTATTTTTTTAAGTGAAAACTTCTTTAGGCGCGCTTTACACTTTTTTTGTAGAGATTATATTATATTGAGCAGTCATATTTCTGATGTGTAACGCTCAGATTATGCCGGCTGGAGTCGAACTGAAGTTTGTGAATAAAATTGAAGGATTTTTGCACATTAAAATATCTCAGAAACTAAAAATCAGAGCTGCATACTGTAAGCCAGGGAAATGTTCAGCATTTCATCCTTTTTATAATGAACTATTATTTATAATTTATATTTCATATTATTAATCTTGTCTTGTTGATGTTTTTACTTGTATCGTGTTGTCTAAAGCAATCACTTCTTTATTTTTTATACAGTTTAAAATTTTAATAAATATTAAAATCAAAAAATATAATATTTATGTTTTGCTTTTTGGAGTCTATATTTCGGACACTACTACCTGTCGACCTTAGAGATAATTCGAGTTTTGATCATTGGTTTTAGAAAAACTAGTTGAGTGGGTTCCGTCGCCTTAGTAGATATACTTGAATAGCTAATAGCGGATAATATCCGAGCTCTGAATTCTACCATTCATTTCATGGTGAGCGAGTGCCGCAATTAACTGTTCGGAGCCTTGAGCTCGCTGGGAGCAGACAGCCCAAACATGCCGGACGAGACCATAAGGTACTGAGAGAGGAGACAGACAGACAGACAGACAGACAGACGTGCTGACCAAGCGGATTGCAGTTCGGCTCTGACCCCGTTGACTCACTGACTCCGGAGTAGACGCGGCAAGGACGACCAGTGTCCCTTCCGCTTCTCTCTTCTTCTTGGTCTTCGCCTTCCAATCCATGGAATGCCAGGAATCGTGTTTACTTTAGCACCTTCCCGAAGCGATTACGCAATGCTCTCCTCTCTACGGGCTTGTAAAACAAACGAATCATCGATTTGAAAAGTGCAGTTCATCTTAGTCAGCGAATTTGAGCGGGAACCAGGAATGCAGGGACACGGAGGTCTTGCTCTCTTCCTGGATTTTCATCATCATCATTTTTATATCCAGTGTGTTAAACATTAAGAGTATACGTTAAAAATGGCTACTTTTCAAAGCCTCTAGAATATTTCTCTTAATATTTTGAACAATTATTTTCGTGAGTCACATACGACGAATTTACGAATAATCAAAATTTTATTTCAGTCCGTTTTTATTCTAATATCAACACAATGATTTAAATGTATATACATCTATACGTACAGTCCAGTCAATGAATGATTATAGAAGGAAATGGCGGCGATTTTTGACTTTGGGACGTTGTTTGGACTAGTAAGGAGGTAAACATATTAAAAGTCCCCACTCCTAGGTGGTGAGCCAGATGTGGGAGGAGGCGCCTAGTAGGTCACTTTTTTCGGGTTTCCGCTTATATCAGGAAAACTATCCATCGCATTGACAAAGACGTACTATATAAAATTAAAGCTGATAAAATTTGCAAAATCATTAGATACCTTTTTTTCGCTATCCCGCTTAGTTTACGAGATAGCTATCACTAATGTCGTTTTCCTGATATAAGCAAAAACCTGAAAAATATTTACCTTCTAGGTTCCAATTTTAATAAAGCATCTAAATCTGACAAATATAAGCAAGGATATAGAATATTTTGTTTCGACTAGAATTTTATTCACATTTCAGTAGAAGTCGTTCAACTTATTTACACATGATTTATAGTTTTCCATATCATAACATAAACTTAAGAGCCTTAAATTAATGTATATATATATATATATATATATATATAAATTAATATATATATTACTCAACAGGCCTAGTGGGTTTTTTTTTTACCTAATCCCAAATTTCTGGAAAAATTCTTTATCAACCTGTATATTTATTTTTTTAAAAACACTGAAAAATCCAGAAATGGAAAATATCTGATTGTTATAAATTTTTTCGTTTTTTTTTTTTATTTTTTTTTTATTTCAATGTTTATTATTTTCGACCACAGCCCTTCTACAGCCCTATTCCCTTCCTATTTTATCGCTTTCCTAATTAATTCATTATAAAAATATTTCTTGTTAGCTATAGAATCAAAATACTTCAATTACGAAAATATTGTAATTCAATAAAAAAATACGTCTGATAGAATGAGTCTTCAATTATTTATTTTTTAAATTTATTTATTTTCTTATAGCGGTACTTGTTAATGTGTTATTCCGACGAGACTTCAAACCCATTAAACTGTCTCCGTAACGTTTTCTCAGCAACTGATGCCTTGGGAATCCCATTCGAAAGTGAGCCGCTACATAGTCAATGTTGACAAATATCCAATTCCTAGTTTCCCACCTTTCTTACGTCAGCATTATAACGCATTTACGACTATTCTTTTTTTCTGGCGTATTTAAAATAAATAAATAAAATTACAATATTTACTTTTATCAATCAAAAAGTATGTGCGCTGAATTTTTGAGTCACGAATATTCAAGGGACATGATAAAGGTAGGTACAAAAAGTTATATTGGCCCTCAGTCAATATGCTGTTAAAATAACAAAAAGTAAATCGTTATCTTTATCTAAGGAGTTGGGAGTATACAGTCAGCAGTTGGGGGGGAGGGAGGGGTGCCTAGTCCATTTGAAAAAAATATATATAAATATAAATAAAACTCAATGCAATGCTGGAAAATGAAATTTTTAAAATAAAAATTAGTAAGAATCTAGTTTGAATGAAAAAACAATATATACAGATATATAACGTTTTTTGCCTTAAATTTAATATTATGGAGTTACCCTTAGGACTGAAAACCGGAGTGAACCACCCCCTCTTATAATATGTCTGATGTTTGGGTTCTAATATTAGCTTAGATTTATTTACTGTACTTAGTTTTATTCAGATTGAACTTGCTTGTACATTTAGAATGGTATAAACGTAGGTGCGACTACATACATTCATGTAATACGCAAATCGAATTGAAGATAATGGCTGAATTTCCATTTCAAATTACGTCAATTGTGCTCTGTAAGAAGAATTCAGAGAATGACTTGAATTTATTAATAATTATCGTATTTCTTTTTCGCTTTCTTGTTATAATCTAAAACTGAAAATATATATTTGTCAATACGACAAAAGTTTAGGATATATCTACACAACAGCAAATGACCAGCGACAGAAAAATGTATTTCAAATTAACTCTAAAATTCATAAGAAAAAGATATGGGTCGTTATCAAATTCTTTTCGAAGTTTATTTTTTCATAAATAATTCATTTTCATCAATAAATTCACAACTATGGGTCATATCTATTTTATTATCTGCATATGGTAATGATTTTCACTTTTTTTTTTAAATTAGTGTAAATATTTTTTTCTGTCAAATAATTTATTTTGACACACTTGAGGGAACTGTTATTGTTGTTATACGTTATCTCATTCATACCATATTTGCGGATTGTAAAAACAAAGGAATTAAAGTCAAATTAGAATAAAATAAATTATCTTGAACAAATAAATATTCATCATTTTATTGAACATTGTAATTATCGTTTATAAATAAAACTGTCCTCAGTTATCTCAAATATTAAAAACAATTTTTATTTTTAAATAATCTATATTTTAGTCCATTCAGGCAGGATTGGAGGCAGGATTTAATATGGAGACTTACCAGTTAGACATGATTAATTCGATAAGATTTAGATATAATTGTAAAAAAAATAATAATTTTAAAATAAAATTGATAATAATACAATCACTTCATGAATATTGGCGACCAGCTCCACACACCATGTCAAAAGTAGTCTCTTGCCTGGAAATACTTATTGACGATCTAACTTTTATTTATTTTTTACTAATTTGATTTTAATATATTAATTTATTAGAATGAGAAGTTGTTTGGAGTTTCGGTCATTCATAAAATTACACACAAATAAGAAGGATTATTTTCCGTAACTTTTAGGACTTCATCACGGAGAAAATACTTCAATCAATAAATTATAATATAAATGATAAATTCAAAACATAAAAACCTCGAGTTTCTAACATACAGATGAACAGTTGAAGCGGTATAACGCGTATTTTGCACACATGTTGCGCGGTAACCTGTTAAACCAAAGATTTACATGATAAAATAATTACTTATTAATTAACGAGTTCGCTCCCCGGTGTTGTGAGAGTGAAAGGGGACTTTTATGGGGTAGTCAGTCTACGCCCGGTCGCTGCGAGTTCCCTCCAGTAAGCTGACGGGTCTAATATACCCGGGGTGAGATCTCGGGCAGCGTGGCTCTCCTTGGTGGACAGTCACCCAAGTCGGCCGGTCACCCGTCCAAGTGCTAACCACGCTCGGAGTGTATATTATCCTAATATATACATACAAAAAAAAATCCTTTGGGCTGAAGCCCCTCCCCTCCCAAAATTAAATCCTTCATCCGTTAGTGGTCCTGATGTTACCAGATTTGGCGAAAGGTTGAAAGATTAACTGTTCTCCTGTCTGTATGTTACAGACTCGAGGCTTTATGATTTTGAATTCTCCACTAATGTCATAATTACTCTATGTCTCTTTTGGATCGATCACCACTTTTATAATAAAAATAAGTTATATTAATTTATCAATCTATTCCATAACTTTATGTTATTGTAATCAGAAATAAATTTTTGATAACCAAACACAAGTTATTTTTGTATGTATGTAAAAAAGTATCGGTTCCTTTTGTGAGGTCACGATGATGTATTTAAATTGATATACATTTATTCTTTGTCTTTCTGTATACTTCTGTTATTCTCATAGAAAATATCCCAGAGAAAAGTGATTTTCTATTCTGTTCCATTTCTTTGTATTGAGTATTTCAGAAGCCGCGCCATGGAATCTTGGCTTTATTCAGATTATATAGTATATTGACATATAAGAAAGTCAGTTTCTATTTTTCATCAATTATTGATTTAAATAGTGTTGTACTTCTTTTCGATGTAGCCAACGAACCCGTCTTCATCTTCAGCAGTTAGTGTTTGACCACATCAAGCCCGTAAGAGTCGCTTGGGCTTCTTCATCAGAAGCCCGATCGTGATTCATCCGCTACAGACCGGAAGTTGTGGGAACCCTTTGGAAGAGACCATTATTATCCCAAGAAGGGCCTTAAAATGAAACCGGTGAAGGGAACTCCTGAGAAAAAAGACGATGTTCCGATAAAAAAGGTGTTCTAGGCACGACAGGAATCCGGTCGGAGGACCATACGACACACACCTACGTCATCGCCCTCACACGCCCCACACAACCTCATTATACATTCAGGCCGCATTTAGAACCATTATTTAGTATAATATATATTTATTTAATGTTTTTCAACACCTGGCGTAACACTTCACGACTTGGAATTTCGAAAAATAGAAAGTACTGGCAACATTTACCATCATATTGGTTTGTACTTTGGATAAATCTATGGATCTTCTGACAATTTTATGTGTCCTTGAAAAAGTTTTTGTGATACCACAGATTTTCTTTTTGAGCGTGGAGCGTTAGATGTAATATTAAAGAACATAATAGGCTTCAGCCTTGATTCTCATTCGCAGGATAAAAGAAAGCAATTTTGAACTACAATACGGTCTAGATAATCCGAACTTTTGGTAATCTGACGAGAGGCGGAATGAATTTGTTCTGTTTCTCAATACATATTCTTGGAATATGTTCATGTGGTTGTGTCGAAATCGTATTTTAGTATCTAGTAAAACATTAAAACTAGGCGGTCATCAAGAAGTTGAGGAATCTCTTTATATGTAGTTCTTGCAGCAGAGATCACGAGGGTGTCCAATTGCCGGGGATATATTACCTAAAAAGTCGACGTTTTTTTTTTTTAATAACCTTTTTAAGAAGGATAACAA